TGTCTGAATGCTGGTCCCGTGGGTGGAGAAGAAGAACAGGAATCTGGGGCGCTTATCCTCTTACCTGGTCCCCTGGACCCTATGCTGGGTCCTGTTGTACTTGATCCCGAACAGCTACTCCCCTGGTCTCCCTGGGTCCTCTGGTTTCCTGGTCTCGTTGGTGGGAGAGAAGACCTGGGGTCTGGGTGCTTGGCTCCCACCGGGATTGGGAGCTCTGTGCAGTTCCCAGGGGATCTGCAGGCACTGGAGCACAGGCCGGGAAGCCGGCCTGTTTGCCTGATGCTGCTGGAAGAACTGCCGCTTCCCTGGACTCCCAGCCTCCTCTCCTTTCCTGGTCTCGTTGGTGTGAGCGAAGATCCGGAGTCTGGGGTGCTTGGCTCCCGCCGGGATTGGGAGCTCTGTGCAGGTCCCAGGGGATCTGCCGGCACTGGAGCACAGGCCGGGAAGCCGGCCTGTTTACCTGATCGACTCACACATTTTTATTGCCTGATTTTATATCATGGAAAGAACATACCAAGAAGCAACTAGACACGTGTTGCCCCTAGAGAAGCATGTAGTATCTCTTGTGGAAATAAATTGGACCTGGTACCTGAATGTGTTCTTATTCATACCCTGCAGATCACTGTCTCCAAGCCCAAATGGGAAGAATGGCTTGAGCCTCTAGGTGGGTAATCTCCAGTGAGAATGAAGAGCGTGTGAGCACAAATGAGGTTCTCTCAAAAGCATTAGTATTGTGCCCTAAAATTATAATAAAAATAATTGATCAGGAACATTTGAGGAGAGATTGAAATTTGGTTTCCAAATTTCTGGGTTTATGATTTAGTCCTGTGATGAGCTTTCCAGTAAGTGACCCAAGTGTTTCAGTAAGGAAACAAGGATTTGGATGGACATAGATGCTGTACTTTTGTGTGAAAAGTGCTCAGCAAAGCATGAATAGTCATTAAGAATGTGAATGTAGATGTTCACCAGTGGCTGGGTCCACCTCACTCCCACTCCTGATAATAACATCTTCCTGTGAGGTCTGTACATCCTTACTTACTCCTTACAAGAGAATGGAGCATCACAATCTGAATTTCTCATCCAGCCTGAAGAGTACCATGATTTCCTTCATCTATTCTCTTTCCCATTCATTCCAAGGCTTCATTCTGATGATATGTGAAAACCTTTAAAAATGCTTTCATCATTAAGCCTCAATTTACTGTAATTTCTTCAGAGCTTTGTACTGAGTCCTTCTCTGTTTCACCAGCCACCTCCCAAATAATGACACAGATTGATATTAATAATGACAGTTTGGCCTGTAGATTAGGCTTGATGCTACTTAGCTCTTATATTAAATTAACCCATTTACATTAATCTACATTCACATGGTGTTACCTCTTGTCCATCTTCCTCTGGCTGCCAACCCTGCCCTTTCCTCTTTTCTCTCTCTCTCTCTCTCTCTCTCTCTCTCTCTCTCTCTCTCTCTCTCTCTCTCTCTCTCTCTCTCTCTCTCTCTCTCTCTCTCCCCCTGTAAGTCCCACCTAATTTTCCTGCCCATTAATTTGCCATTCATCTCTTTCTTAAACCAATCACAGTGACACACCTTTGCACAATTTACAAATATCCCACAACAGAGTTTCTTATGCCAAAGATCCCGAACAGGCCTTGAATCTTTCATTACTGTTATTTTCCATATGGTATCAATAAGGAAAATGTTATGTATTTAATGCCTTTTGTCCTGTATTCTGGTCAGTAACATCAGTTTGGTGGCCAGGGAAGTTCTGTGTCTTCACACTTTGCTCTGGCTGACAGAATGGCTCTGTGTCCTGAAGTCAGCTCTAGCAGTGCTTAATGAGTGTCTGCATTCTTTCTTCCTGGTTTCTTCAGGGTTGAGTGTGAACTCCTAACCTGGACTCTAACAACATCCCTTCCTGTCTACACTCTGTTCTGTGACAAGTCCTGTGATCTGATTGCCATCGATGCCCCCCAGGAAAGCATAAACCCTGCATCCCCAGCATCTTCCCTGATTATCTAGGATGACTCATCCAGAATCAAAGGATTTCTTTTAAATGTCTCTTAGTCACACCCATGACAATTCTCCATGAATGTCTTCCTGTCCCTGTTCAATAAATGATTACCCTTGCAGTTACATGCATGTCTCTCTGTACAATAAATGTGGGAATGATAGCGAGTGCATGAGCAGACTTGCTGGGTCCTGTAGCCAAGATCCTTCCTTATGTACCAGAATTGGACCTGAGTTTCAGGTTTTACCTCCTCTGCAATAATCTCAATCCCAATGAGTGCTGCCTGCTCATAGGTTCTCCTGTTTTAGTGACCTTATAAGGATCATAGACTTACTGCATACTTCCTCTATCTATAGATCCTCGTCTTCAACAGAGCGTGGAGAGACACAGGCCTCTGAGGCTATGCCTACACAATATGGTTCCAGATATGCACCTTGGAAAAAAGAATGTTTTGGTCACCAGAGACACAGAGAAATGGCTGCCTACCTCCCCACAGCAAGCTCTGACCCCAAGATCAAGAGATTAAGTTGGCTTCCAGTTCATGTCTCCTGACTCAAGTTATTGGTGTGCTTTGCTAAAATAAAGCAAAACACTTTTGAGAAAGACAACCAATTATGCTGGAAATCCCCCTCACTCCTCCTACAACACCTCCTGATAGCTATGTTTCCTAGGCTGGCCTAAATCTCCTGGGTCCAAGTCATTCTTTGGCCACAGTCTCTTAAGTGACTCCAACTTCATCCATGTACTTCCATGCCTGGCTTTTCATTTTTAATCTTGGCATTTAAGAGACAAAAAGAATCTGTATTTAAAAATACTCAGAAAAATAAATAGTCATTACAATCTAGTACTCTGTTAAAGAAATGGCTTCACAATGCCACCCTGAGGCAGGAGACTATCACCCAGAGAAAGTCACAGAAAGAGCTTTGGGTGCTCCCAGGTCAGGATGTCAGCTTTAGTTCACCCTGAAGCTTCCCCTTCAACACCAAACCCTTATTTGTGGGAATGAGTCATGAAATAGTAAAAAATTCAAAGTCAAGGAGGAAATTACAAACCTCAACAAGGGGCTATTATTTTTAAGGGAAGATACAGGGAAATTGTTGGCATGGTAGATTATTCTACATGATCTGGGGGCTCACTGAAACTAAGCAGCATAGAGGACTGGGGGTAACTGTCACAAAGTGATCTCACATTTCGAGGTGCCCCTCAGAGGAACCAAGGCTGAGGCAGAGTGATTTTCAGGAGAACTCCCCAACCTTACCTAAATATAACAATAAGACAACTTTCTGTGATTGCAGAAGCAGGCACCATCCATGAAAAAGATCAAAGCAGCAGTTGGCATCTTGGGGTTGGCCTGGCGTTTAGATCTAAGAGTCCTCATTTCAACAAGCTAGCCTGATGATCATGGTTGGCCTACAATGCCTTACTGGATACTCATAACCTCATAAAAAAGCAACCTTAGGCAAGACCATTCTGAGATGGTAAAAGCAAGATCATTTGCCATCTATAAACATGTCTGTCCTTGAGCTAAAATGAGTGACAGCTGCTTCTCTACCAATTACAGAGTTAGCTTGATGTTTGCCTCCACTTATGAAAAATTGAATTCACTGGGCTCTCTAATCACTGAGCTGTCATTGTCCCCCAGTTGTACCTATCCTATAGCTTCCTAAGGCATTCCCAAATCTGATACCAGGTTCCTTGTTTCATTCCTTTTGAAAAGATTGTCTTGTGTATGTTTGTGTGTTTCATGCATATGTGTCTACAAACTAGAGTTGGTGCCAAGTGTCTTGTCTTGCTCTATCACTCCCCACCTTGTAATATGAGATAGAATCTTTTACTGAACAAAAGAGCTTGTGAATGTGACTAGACTGACTAGACCTGCTGGTTCTCAAACCTGAGGATGGTCTGCCTCTGTTTCCCCAGTGCTGGGATTACAGGTGCATACTACCATACTTTACTTCTTCTGTGGATGTTGGGGATACCAAACTTAGGTCCTTAGGCTACAGGGAAATTACCTTACTGACTAAGGCAGCCCCTGCAACCTGGTATCCTTCTGAGATGCTCCTGACTCCCCTTGGAGCATCCTTCCCAACTTCAGTAGTAGACTAGTTATCCAGACCTTATGTTGCTTACACGTATGCTTCTAGTGTTCTTTAGTCATGCAATATTAAAATTATGAGAGAAAACATAGGTTATTCCATGACTTGGAAATACCAGCCCATATCATAAATGCAATGCTTGGTTTGAAGCTGGCTCTTAATAGGGGACAGAACTAAGAAAGTCTTCCAAGTTTAGTCCAAGATATCAGAATGAGATGGTTGCCGTTGCTCCATATCTCTTGGGAGAATTAATTTAGTGGAGAAGGAAAGGTCCCAGTTTGAAACCTTTCATTATTTAAGTAGGCCACTATAAAGGGCTCTAGGGCCAGGAAGGTGACTCAGTTGATTTCCATACAAGTATGAGGTCCTGAGATTGCTCCCTGGGTCCAAACAAAAGTGTTCAATGGTGGAGAACAGCGGCCCATGCTTGTAATGCCAACACTGGAAAGATGGAGTCAGCTTCAAAGTTGGTAAATTAACTCAATACTTTCACATACCTTTCTTCATTTTCAGTCCCTGATACAAGCCAGAGGGATTGGTAAACAATCATGAAATGGTCTATATTTTCATCTCAATGACCACTCAAAGCCTAGTCTTAGAGGAATTTCAGCAGTGTCCTCCTAGCACTGGGTAGCAGAGGCAGGATTAGCTGTGTGCAAAGCAATTCTCAACCACATAACCTGGGGGCATGCCTGAGCTCAATATAACCTTCCCAAATTGTGAACCCACAAGTCTGGTCTGTCTTCATTCACATGACATGAATTAATACCTGGAAATTTAAAGAAGAAAATCACTGAATCTTCCTGATCTAGCTAGGATTTTTATTGCTTTGAATAAACACCATGACTGCCACAATGCTTACAAAAAAACATTTAATTGGGGTGGCATACTTACAGAGTCAGAGATTCAGTCCATTGTCATCATAGGGGAGAGTAAGATGTAAAGGATAATGTGGTGCTGGCTACATCTTGATATGCATGCCACAGGAAGTTGACTGATATGCTTGGCAGTATCCAGGGCACAGGAAACTCCAAAGTCCATCACCAGTGATGATACACTTCTTCCAAAAATGACAAACTCACTGTAACAAAACCATGCCTTCTAATATTGCCACTCCCTATGAGATTATAGGGCCAATTACATTTAAACTATCTCATTGCCACATTCAGGTCCTTTTTCATGATGGTGACTCAAGCAATTGATTTTCCATCCTGTTTCCACATGCAGTGAACTCAAACTATACTTTCTACACTGGTCTGAAGGCAGAAACCATCCTCCATGTGCAAATCCTTTTCCTGTGGCTGCAATGGAAAGTCAACTCCATGAATCAAATGGATGAAATCAACACTCTAACATCAGACAGTCACTTAAGAATGGGGTAATCAAGAAGACAGTGAGGTCATTACCATGGAAAGCAACAAACTGGGATCAAGGCCACCTATATCAACATGAGACTTTGTCTCAGAAACATTTTACTAAGAGGCTGGAAGTGCAGCTGTTCTAGAATTAATATGCCTTTACAATGACTTAAAAGATTAATAAAGAAAAATTTTTGTAATGAGGTCATGCATCCATCTCTGGCAAATGCTCAAAGAGGAGAGAGCCTAAAACATTTTTTTTTGGTTTTGGTTCTGTTTTTTTGAGACAGGGCTTCTCTGTGTAACCCTAGTTATCCAGGAACTAGCTCTGCAGACCAGGTTGGTCTCCAACACAGTGATCTGCCTGCCTATGATTGCTGAGTACTTAGAGTAAAGCTATGCACCACCACCACCTGGCTCCTAAAACAGATTTCTCATTCCATGTATGCCATCATCTTTATTTTTTTTTATGGTCAGACTCCAGTTTATACTTTAAAGAATTTAAATAGTGACAGGAAATTGCAAGTCGGGCCAGTTAGGCAAATGAAAGACATCAGCAGAAAAGATATTACCATAATTATTTCTTAGTACATGAGTAACATGAAACAGCATGTCATATTTTACTGACAGGTTCTTAGGTAGAGGTACCATAAGATGATCAAGATAGGAAAAACAGAACAAAGAAATGATAAAAGCTGGGCAACCTTCTTAAGAGGAATAGCTTCTTGTATACTACTTCTAGGAGGAAATGGAAGAAAATAGGAGTCTTCTAGGAAGTCAGCAGAAATTATCATATGATGGGACAAACTCAGAAGAAGGCTACTCATACAATGCAGCACAAGGGGAACATAGGGTATCCCAAGAACATTACTGACTAAGCCCACAGTGGCTGTGGGACTGATGACTACAGATTCATGTGGTGGGAACAGTTGTGTTCTCAGGGTCTGAAGCAACCTTTCCACAAAGGCCCTGGCTCCAGACCACTACATTCTCTCCCAAGCATCTTTCTAGTTTTAAATGAGGAGCTCTATTTTATTCTTGATACCTCAGAGCCTAATGGAAAACATCTAGGGCTAGGCCCCAGGCTATTACTGACTCTGCCAAGCATGCTTCTGGGTTTGAGAAGGAGCCATGTTCCTTCTCCATTAATAAAGACCTAAACAGAAAGTATCATTTGCTCAGTTAAATCCTCAATACAACAGTGTTTTCCTTTCCAAACAGTTCTCACCTAGTGTCATCTTGACCTTCTGGCAGAACTATGATTTTTCTCTAGAATGAAACTTGACCTTTATGGCACACCATGCCCTAATGTTTACTGTGAACCTGTCATGCCCCTTTGAGCAGCTTGTAAAAGCCCTGTTCTGTGATATGGGGATGGGCCTGGGGACTGTTTGTACATCAGGGGTTTCTCCTTTGTCATGGTTCGGAGTAAAAAATCTGGACAATCCTGGAGAACAAATGTATGTTTTAGCATCCTAATCTCTACCAGGCCTACTTAGCATGCTACTTATCTTTGGGTTATTTTTAGAGGCTACTTCTTTAGACTAATTCTATACTAATTCTATTTTGTAGAACTTACCATTCCCTAATAATTGGTAAAACCTTTATATCAACAATTCTACTCCTCCACATTACAGCTTAGTAGTGGAGTGAGATTCAACACAAGAATTCCATTTATGAACTTATTTAGTGCTCCATGCTTTTAACCAAACACTCGGGAGTTATAGCAGGCAGATCTCTAAGAGTTTGCAACTAGTCTGCTCTATAGAACAAGTTCCATGTCAGGCTCTAAAGCTATCAGAGAAATCCTATCTCAAAAAAATAAATAAATAAAAATAAAAATAAAACATGAAATAGAAAGAATGTCATTTACAGCATATACAAAATTAACTCCAAATGGATCTTATACTTAAATGTTAAATGTGAAGTTCAAAACTTCTAGAAAATACTAGAGAAACTAGCCATCTCTAAGTCTGACAACTTGCCTTCCACATGCACCAAAACCACATCAATGTTGACTACAAAGATGTTTCTACACAAAGCTCCCTGATAGAAATGGTTTCCACAGATTAAGCCCACAGACTGAAGTATTCAGAAGCCAGCACCAGTCTGGGGAGTTGCTAGGGCCATATAAAACCTCACAGAACACTGAATGTCTCTGCAGGTTCCCAGGGAGTGTCCTGCAAGACCTGTGACTGGGGGGTTGGCCTGGTTCCCCTGATTGGCTAGTGAGGCCTGAATGACAAGAGCACTTCCTTAAGGGTTAGAGTATTCATAGGCCAACACACAGGATCTGAGGAGTTGCTAGGACCACATGGGACAACAGGTCCCTACCTAGCCTCCAGGATGGCCTGCCACACCATCTCCCATGCCTCCCTATCCCCTCCTCCTCATCTTGGGATAGCATCCCCCCACTCACTATGCTCCTCTCACAGCCCCTACAGCAGCACTCACAGTGCAGCAATCAATCCACTGGTGCCTGTCCTGCTGTAAAACCAAGCCTGCAAGCATGGCTCCAGGAAGTATCCTGCAAGACTTGTGACTAGTGGGTTGACCTGGTGTTCCTGATTGGCTAGTGAGGCTTGAATGACAAGAGCACTTCCTTAAGGGTTAGAGTGTGCTTAAAAACACAACACAGGGTTCCCTGGCCCTGGCTTTTACTCTAGACCCTTACCCTTTGGATATTGGCAGAGACCCAAATTTCAGTATCACTCACCCCATCTGCAGGAGATGACCCAGCTCTCTTCCTGCAGTTCACATGTTCATCCTCTTCTTCCTCTTCCACACCATGTGCCGAGCTTGCACAGATCTTTACTCAATACAGACAGGAATGATTCTCCTATTCCACAGATGGAAGGGTGCCCAGGATATTAAAAAATAAAGAGAATTTTTTAGGATGAAAATATGTTTCTACTGGGCAGTGCTGTAGCATGCCTTTAATCCTAGCACTGGGAGGTAGAGGCAGGCAGATATCTGTGAGTTTGAGACCAGAGTGGTCTACAGAGCAATTTCCAGGACAGCCTCCAAAACAATACAGAGAAACCCTGTCTTGAAAAACCAAAAAGAAGAAGAAGAAGAAGAAGAAGAAGAAGAAGAAGAAGAAGAAGAAGAAGAAGAAGAAGAAGAAGAAGAAGAAGATGAAGAAGAAGAAGAAGAAGAAGAAGAAGAAGAAGAAGAAGAAGAAGAAGAAGAAGAAGAAGAAGAAGAAGAAGAAGAAGAAGAAGAAGAAAAGATGTTTGTGTTGGGCAGTGACAATGCAAGCCTTTAATTCAGCACTATGGGAGGCAGAGACAGACAGATTGCTGTAAGTTCAAGACCAGCTTTGTCTACAAGAGCTAGTTCCAGGACAGGCTCCAAGGCCACTGAAAAATCCTGTCTTGATCTTTAGTATACAAGCTTATTTGAAAGAAATGGGTTCTAATGCTAGTAAAGGAATAAACTCAGTAGCCAGAGCTAGGGTGAGCAGGCAAAGAGAGAGAGCTTCCCCCTTCAGTATCCCTTATGTATGTACACAGCCGCCAAAGTGTGTAACCCAGATTATAAATGGATTTTTTCTCATGATTTAAAAAATTTTTTTGGAGGCAGCATTTTTCTGTGTAGCCCTGCATCATATTCTGTAGACCAGGCAGACCTCCAACTCAGGTCTGCTTCAGTCTCTTGAGCACTGGGATTAAAGATCTGCACCAATACCAAGCTGGTAAAGGTGTTTTATATCACTTCCAAAGATCTAGATTAAAGACATGTGTTCCCATTTTAAAACCTTTAATAAGAAAATGCCTGCTGGGAGGTGGTGACAGATGCCTTAAATCCCAGCACTTGAAAGGCAGAGGCAGATGGATCTCTTTGAGTTCATGATAGTCTTGTCTACAAACTGAGTTCCAATTCTGGCTTCTTATCTACTGAGAAAATCCCCAAAAAGAAGCAAACAACAAACAAAATGTCCTACCCCATTGAGTTTTAGGTAATTCCAGAGGTAGTCAGTTTGACTATCTAGAACAGACATCACAACAACCAAGACAGAAAAATAAAACGAGATAGATTTCTTACCTCAGGTGACAAGGAGACCATTGGTATAATTTCCAAAGCAATTCTGATCCTAACAAGGAAAGCATGGGGACTTTGCTTAGGGAGTACAGAATTGTTCCTGTGGAGTGTTCCCTATTCTGCAGCATAGTCAGTCAACAAATCCACTTCTGAACATGATCACAACATAACAGCAGAAATACTTACAAACATTCTTATCTCAGGGGTCACCAGAACAAAAGGAACTGCATTGAAGGGTCACAGAATTAGGAAGGTGGAAAACCACTGATCTAGAGGCTATGGAGTGTAACTATATGGTGCTGGAGAGACTAGCAGTCTCTTTCACACCAGGAAAAACTGAATCCAACCTCTGTTTAACCATGTTCATAGCATCATTATTTGTAATAGGCAGAACCTGGAATCAGCTTAGATGGCCCTCAGCTGAAGAATGGATGGAGAAACTGTGGTACATTTACACAGTGGAGTACTACTCAGCTGAGAAAAATAATGGAATCCTGAAATTCACGGTGAACGGATGGAACTAGCAGAAACCATCCTGAGTAAGACAACCCATACATAAAGTGACAAACATGATATGTACTCACTCATATCAGGATTTTAGACATAGATCAAAGGATTACCAGCCTACAGTCCATACCTCTGTAGAAGTTAGAAAACTTGGAGGACCCTAAGAGGAGTAAAGAGACAAGATCTCCTGAGGTAATTGGCAGCATGGTGGGTGGAGAGAGGGAGTAAGGAGAAAGAGAAGGGGGGAAGTGGAGGGGAGAGGAGGACATGAGGGAGCAGGAAGATTGAGTTGGGGAATGAATAGAGAAGACCAAGAAAAGAAATACCATAATAGAGGGAGCCTTTGTAGGTTCATGCCCAGAAGTGAGGACAGGAAGATAGCAGGGTCTGCTCTCAGAGCCAGGGCCAAGTTCTAATGAGATGGATATCTCTGCTGATCTAGGAAGACAACAGGGTTTGCTACATTTGAGCCTGGGCCGAGTTCTATTGAAATGTATTTTTGTCTGTGGTGGGAGACCAGGTCAGGAATCATTGTGCTGTGTCTTTAAGAACTGTGTAACCCTATGGGAGGTGCTCCTGTCACTCATGCCTCACTAGCCAATCAGTACCTCCAGGTGACCTGTCAGTCACAAGAGGTGCCGGGCCCTTCCCTGTAGCACTTTTAGGCTTGTCTCTGAAGAGGAGCGGTACCTTTTCTGTGTGTGCTGTGAGTCCATTGCTGCTACAGCAAGCTGAGTGGTGAACTTAGGCTAGATGGGCAGCCATGACTTGGTGAGTGAGGGGCTGTTGTCCCAAGATGGAGAGTAGCAGATTGTGAGGTGCAGAAGCCAGTGTGGTGAGTCCTTCCCCGATCTGAGTGGGAATCTTCAGCCAGATTCCCTGGCCTGTGAGGTCCCATGTGGTCCTTGAAACTGCCAGGACCCAAGGCCAGGCCTCTGAATAACTTTTCTCTGTGGTCTGAGTCTGCTCAGAGCATTGGGAGCAGGGAGCTGTGTGGGCAAACATGTTTCTAGTCAACATCAACATGATTTTGGTGCACCCATGGATAGGTTGCCGAGCTAGAGACACCTATTTTCTACAGTGTCTTCTAGACATTCAACACTTTATCTTCTAAACATTCAGCACTTTGCATTTTACTTTACATGTAAACATCCATTATTGTGGATGTCGTAAAATGCATCTCATGTGTTTGGTTGCACTCCACTTACATGCCATGATGCAGAATAGTAGAATTGTTAATATAAGGTATTTGCCAATGCTTAGGCAATATATAGTCTCACAAAGTAGAATTTAACTGAGGGAGGACTGCCTCTAAGACACCCAAAAGGTAAATGTATGCAAACAGGCCTGTTAGAAATTAGGATGCGAGGCTATACATTTGTGCACTAGGTTTGTGACATTTGGCTCCAAACCATAACAAAGAAGTCTCCCCTGATTTACAAGCACTCACTAGGCCCACATCCATGTCAAAGAACAGGCCTGTACCAAGCCGCACAAGGAAGCATTACAGGGCATAAGCAACCTTAAGGCCTGGTGGGCCATAAAGTTCCAGTTTTCTTCTTGAGGAAAGCATAGTTCTGCCAGGTGGGCAATAGAACACCAGGGGAAGAGCATTTGAAAAGTAAAATACTGTTGTGTTTAGGACTTGCATGATTGAGCAAGCTTTCATTTGCTCAATCTCATTCTTGGCGTAGCTAGTAACAGCCTGGGGCCTAGGTCTTAGGAGGGTTCCCTATGGGCCTGGTGTATTGACAATAAAACTCTTTCTCTGAAACTAGGAATTTGCTTGGGAGGGCTGGTAATGGTCTGGGGCCAGGGCCTTTGTGGAGTGTTTGCCTCAGATCCTGAGAACCCAGTGTTTCTCACCATATGGAGCTATGGTTATCAGTCCCAAGGTCACTGTGGGTTAGTCAGTAATTTTTGTTTGTTTGTTTGTGTTTTGAGACAAGGTTTCTCTGTGGCTTTGGAGGCTGTCCTGGAACTTACTCTTGTAGACCAGGCTGGTCTTGAACTCACAGAGATCTACTTTCCTCTGCCTCTAGAGTGCTGGGATAAAGGTGTGTGCCCCCAACACCCTACAAGCAATGTTCTTGAGATACTCTTGTATAGAGTCATTTGAGTAGCCCCCTCCTGAATTTGTCCCATCGTATGATGCTTCCTGCTACTTCATAAAGTCTCCTATTCCTTCCATTCCCCGCTGCAGTAGTATAAAAGATGCTATTCTTCTTAAGAATCTTAAATCAGAGTACTTCGGAGGCAGAGGCAGACAGATCTCTGTGAATTTAAGTCCAAATCACTGGTGTACCTAAAATTTATTCTAGGACATATCTTTGCTGTGTAATGCTCCAACATGCCTAAGTGGCTAGACCTACAAGTTGTTTGTTCAAAGTTCTTTTTTTTTTTTTTGGTTTTATTTGAGACAGGGTTTCTCTGTGGCTTTGGAGCCTGTCCTGGAACTCGCTTGGTAGACCAGACTTGGTCTCGAATTCACAGAGATCCAACTGCCTCTGCCTCGCAAGTGCTGGGATTTAAGGTGTGCGCCACCACCGCCCAGCTTGTTCAAAGTTCTTGAGCATGAACCTAAAAGACATTTAAGTATGATGGCATATGTGGAATACAAGTGTGTCTAAGCTGGCTCCACTTTGAGCATTAGCTAGAGATGGATGCATGTCATCATTAAAGAGATTTTTCTTTATTAACCTCCCAAGTGTGTGAAGTGATTTGTCCCTGGGAAGGCATAGTAATTCTATGACAGCTGCGTTGCCATCCTGTTAGAAACAAAATCTTTCTGAGACAAACTCTCTTATGTTGAGTTAAGTAGCATTGATTCCATTCTGTTGCTCTCCAGGGCAATGGCCTTGCTGTCCTCTATGTGACACTTCCAAAATTCTAAAATGACTGTACCACCTCAGAGATTTAAAATTGTCCATTTGAGTCATGTAGTCAACCATCCAATACAGTCACAGGAAAAGGATTCCCATGGGGAGCATTGTTTCTGCCTTCATAAGGAAGAATAGTTTATTGTTTACAATGCAAGGAAAATAGGGCAATCATCTGCTCAAGTCACCAATATTAAAAAAGGACCCGATTGTGATATCAGTGATGATTTTGTAATTTCCCAGCATGTTTTAATTCATGTCATGTGAATGGACACAGAATATTGTGGGTGTACAGCTTGGAAAGGTTATCTTGAGCCAATGAATATTTAATTTGCAATTAGGCAATTCTCCTATGTAGATATGTATGTGCAATCCTGGTTGATACAGTTAAGTCAGCTCAGAGGTTTGAGGCTCAGAGGTATGTCATTGGCTGTAACTCCATGCATCCACTTACACCACTGAGTAGCTAAACTTTTACATGGGGAAAAGTCATACAATGTCTTAGTAATGGCATTCTCCCTACCAGGGAATGCCTACTCTGTTTCAAAGTCCATGTTTCTTGGTGTTCTTTCAATTTTTTTTATCTCCTTAAAAAATCAAATATTGATAACATTTTTAAAATTTCATTTTTTTCCAATGCATTACTGCCATAGTCCCTTTGTTTGATTTCCCATTGTTTCCTGTTTAAAACATTTCATTCCATTTTTTTCTGAAGTGCTGTTTATTTATTTATTATTTATTTATTTTTATGTATAAGTTTAGAAAAGTAGCTGTCAAGCATGACCCTATCACAGGAATGACCTAAGACCACTGGAAACAAACCAGATGTTTATATTACAATTCATAACAGCAAAATTATAGTTTTGAAGTAGAACTGAAAATAATTTTATGCCTGGCGGTCACCATATCATGAGGAACTGTGTTAAAGGGACACAGCATTAGGAAGGTTGAGACCACTGGTTTTGATCAATGTCTCCTGTATCTCAGACTTGCATCACACTGTGTAATTGAGAATTGCTTTGAACACCTAATCCTGCTTTTCCAGTGCTGGAAAGTCAGTCATACAACTCCTGCCAGGCTGGGCCTTGACTGGTCTCTGAGAAGGAAAAATAACCAGTAAATTAATAATGCTCCAAGTTTTTACATTTTATTGTGAATTTCCAAATTAATTGAGAAACTGTAAGAATTTCATCCACCAACTGTAAAGCAGTTGCAGTCACAGCACAGAAGTTAGGGCAGGAAGAAGGAAGAAAGATTTCCTGCTGTGACAAAAATTGACATAGCATTGTGGAGTCAGGTAATCAATTTTAGATATTTCATAAATGCCCTGACTGTCCATTTCTCAGTTTCCTGGATCAAGCAATCAAGAATCTAGATTAAGAACAGAATTTATCATGAAACCAAATCCCTGTAGTTACACCATTTCAACCTAAATAGAATAGGATAAAATGGTGTTGCCCTGGCTAACATGATTGTTTTTTTCTTGGTTTAAGGTGATAGCCTTGAGAGAAATAGTGTGAGTAGTACTTGGTGTACTCTAATACAAATCCCTCTCTGGAACACATGGCCATAAAGCCTGTTTCAACTTTTTTTTTTCAATTTTTTTATTTTAAATAGCTTGTTTTACATGTCAATCCGAGTTCCCTCTCCCTCCCCTCCTCCCCCACTCCCCTTTCCCCCCACCCTGCCACCCTATTGCCAAATCCTTCCACATAGGGGATATCATAGTCTGTCATTTTACTCTGGGTAGGGTCCAGGCACTCCCCTAAGAGTCCAGGCTGAGAGAGCATCCCTCTTTGTGCTATAGGCACAGGAAGACTGTTTGTATATCAGGGATAGACACTGATCCACAGCTCAGGGCCCCATAGGTTGCCCAGGCCTTCTCGCTGACACTCACATTTGGGGGTCCAGATCA